CTCTCTGTGTGTGTGTGTGTGTGTGTGTGTGTGTGTGTGTGTGTGTCTGTGTGTGTTTGTGTGTGTGTGTGTGTGTGTGTGTGTATGTGTATGTTTTCATGTGGGTTTAACTCTCGATCTCTACATTGCTCTCGCGGGCGCAAATCATGGCATATCAGATGACCTCCACCTCATATCTCTCCATCTTTCGCGCGCAGAAATTGTAGTCCCTCTCTCTCTCTCTCTCTCTCACACACACACACACACACACACACAAACACACACGCGGGAGCGCGCGCGAGCATACACACACTGCTGCTGATTGATTGGCATTCGCTAGAGATTAGTGACCGCAGTGGCATTCGCGAGAGATTAGTGGCCGCAGTCATCGCCTGTCGATTAGTCGTTGGACAAACGGTCCTGCGACGAGACAAGCACGAAATTCCTGTTCTGCAAAACGTAGGAGCACGCGACTGCATAAACACGTTCCCGAACAGTCGGAAATGGGAATCTCGAGGCCGACCCCATGATAAGTGTAGTGCTCCGTGAGTGGGCCCAAGAAATAATTACAAAAATGCCCGAAAGACGAATCCGACTACCATGTGGGTTGGATAGGGTAATACGTGGTAGCTCAGTTTGTTAGAGCTCTGGCGTCGCAAGGCGGACGTCGCGGGTTCGAGACCGTTAGCGCTCATCCACTGCTGAGCTCGCCTACGTGGTGTTAGCTTGACACCACGTACTTGGCCCTCAGAATGGCACAGTACATATGAGCTGAGAGGTTACTACACCTGGGGTACTGAGAGGGATCAATAGGGGGGGGTGCTGGAGCACCTATGAGGACGGGCATGTGTGGGGTAGTACCAGGGAGGGGAGCACTCGCTCACATAGACCTCAGGGGAGGGAGCAATCGCTTACGAGGACCTCAGGGGAGGGAGCACTCGCTCAGGCGGACCTCATCATGGGCGGTGGGAGCCACGTCCGGAGGGAGTGCAGTGGGACGCGGGCCACTAGTTTTGCAGGGTCTATAGGCCCTCCTGTGCGGGTGGCAGGGTAGTCTTTCTTGTATGGTATAGGGCAGATTCGGACCACAGAGCAAAACCCGTAAGTTCTCTCGTGAACACGGTTCTGGCTGCTACAGGTTCCCCCGTATGACAAAAATCAGTAGTGGTAGGTGGGTAGTGTGAAGTGAAATTGAGAAAAGAGAAACTAGTCCAGTTGGCTCCCGGCCCCCGTTCCTTTGGTTGAGTTAGATAAATGCCAAACAGCAAAGGTCAAACAGCAAACGTACGCAAAGTCATACAAGTGATGAGGACAAGAGAGAGAGAGAGAAAGAGGGGGGAGAGGGAGAGAGAGAGAGAAAAAGAGAGAGAGAGAGAGAGAGAGAGAGAGAGAGAGAGAGAGAGAGAAGACAATCCAAATCCTGAAACGCGACCTGTGGCCGTACGTGAATTTAAGCGTGAAAAAGCCGCCAAAACATCGAACGATAAACAGTAAAACTGGCGCAGCGACCCGACGCTGCGTTTCGTCCGGCCGCCAACCGGAACTCGTCAGGGGTCCTGAATAAGCCGCAGGGAAAAGGGACAGGATAGATGGAAGAGACTGCGACCAGACGTGGGGTGATAAGTCAAGCAAGATATGTCAACCAGACGTCGACCAGACGTGGGGTGATAAGTCAAGCAACATATCAGGGGAGGGAACTAGAGGCCTAAAGAATGTGGATGAGACCAAAGCCAAATTCACGTCTCCGCCGCAAAAACCAAACCGACAGATCAGCCTGATACGTCAACAGATACGCAGGCCCTGCTCCACCCATCTAGAAGAGAAGGAAGATCGAGAGAAATCTAGAATCTACCTCAAAAACAAGGACCAAGAACCAAGCCCACTAACCCAGCAGAACCACGAGTGGCGCCAACCAGCAAGCCACTTCCGAATTAACCACGTGCCTTAAGTCCAGTCCCTAAAAAAGACCACCGTACGATCGGGAAAAGTTTTGTAAGAGTAAAAATAAGACGGAAAAAAATGAAAGTCAAAATGACCCAAGGAAGCGAAAAAGAAAACAAGTAAAAAAGTAAAAAAGTAAAAAAGTAAAAAATAGATCGTCAACATGCCTACTGTGAACCGGTCGAACCGAAAAGTGCCCCTACCCGAACCGGAGAGTGCCCCTAGCCTAACTGCTCGAAACCAAAGGTGCTAACGGGAACCTCTCTCTGAACTGGTCAGACCAAGGAGCGCCCCTGGTCTACTTGCAAATAGCCCTACCCGCCCAGAACCGGACAGCGTTGAAACGATCTTCCCACCCGGTCAGACAGCAGACCCAATCATTCCACAGCCCCCTGAACTTGTTTGAAAAACTAACCAGCGCAATATCGAAATACTCATCCGGGAAGCCCCTCTTCCGCAATTCAATCTTTAACGTGAAAAGAAACGCCACCTCCATACCGCTCATTGTGGTGTAAGCCTTGCCCCTGTGGAGGCAAGACCCAATAACTGCCATTTTTTGCTGATTGCTTGAAAAGGATTGGAAATCCTGAAGATTCTGAAATCGAAGCTTCTCCTCACCAAAATTGCGCTGATTCTTGTGCAGTGCCACGCACTGCACACCCAAAGGCCAATCAAGCACTTTTAAGACACACCCAAGGAAGTCCCAGCAGTCCCCACCACTCGTTTGCTCCAACACCAGATGGTGGTCGTAACAACTCCGAAACTTCGTCAAAATCGATTGAGCCACAGCAACAGACTCCAGGTCATTATCAACATACCGTACCAGCAAAGAAACATCGTCAACCATGCGGATTCCATGTACCAGCTTCCTATCACATCTGAGAGATGAAAGGAACCTGAACTCATTGTACGCACACAACAAACACGCCAGCGCCGGGCTGGATGACTTGCCCATGGGGATGCCCACTTTTTGCTGCAGTACACGTCCACAAGCTCGAACGAAAGTGCACTCAAGATCAAAGATAACAAATTTGATGAGCATGTCGAACTCTATCGTGATCCAGCCCTCCTGCTTGCCACCCTTCTTCAGTTTAGCTCCCTTGCCCCGTTTTTTAACGAGAATCCCAGAACATCCTCTCATTGACCAGAAATCCACCACCCATTGTACTGTGTGGATGATAGCCGCATGTGGCAAATTGCAAAACATTTCCTTAATATCAAACGCAGAGCTCAACAACTGCTCACCTTTCTTCAAATCCTTGTTCACACCTCCCACGGCCGCGGCAAGATCCGACATGCTCTTTAAATTGAAATTAATAGCAGAAGGTAGATCCCAAAGCATCCGATTAATAGCCTGCACCGCTGTTTTGCTGGCTCTCACCCCACACTCAGAGTGAGTGGGGCAGATTGGTCTCCATTTTGCAACATCCTTGTGTTTTGGTACAACATACGCCTCCCCCAGACTCCCTTCCCTGTCCCATTTACCAAGTGTCGTTAATCCCTCATCACGGAATCGTGCAGCAGGCAAATCCCGGACCTTCTTCTCGCTATCGCACTTCACAAAACCCTGGTTGTCCAGGAAGAGCTTATCCATCCCATGCCGGTAGATCACTGGACAGCATACCAACGTGTCACCGACATTGTGGTCGATGGGGACACGCACCAGATTGGCAAAACGGTCCCTCCAGTACGAGACAGAATCCGGACCACTCGAAGCAAACCCATCCACTACTCTGTTCCTGTTTAAGCACGCATCCAACAAAACTCTCCCAAACATCTCGGTACTGAGCTTAGGCAGGAACGGTACTTGCTCAAAAGAGGCAGAAATTTGCTGAGCCAGATGTTGACGTGAAGCACTACGGAGAGGACCAGGGATGTTACGAGAGTTTTTTAAGAACTGTGGTACAAAATCAACCTGCGATGATCGAAAACAAAAATGACCATCCGTGCGTGGAAAAACCCGCCCATCTGTTACGCAATCACAGAAATGTTCGGACTGACGCGAGACATCCCGGAAGTTAAACAAAATATCCCCGACACTAGGATTCCCAGTCCAAACCACTCTCATCCTTCTAGCTAACATTTCACGGACACAAGGTGGAATATCAAGATTGCGCAGGAGCTCACAACAAAGGCGCCTGATCCCACATTTGCTCAGACAACAGTCATATCGAACCCTGATAACCAGCCTGGTACGTACATTAATCCCGAACTGCCTTCGAATCGAACCGGAAACCACACACCAAAGAGTGAAACGAGTTCGTTTTTCGCTGAAGCCTCTGATGGCCACGAACAATCCAATGAGCTTATCCAATTTCCAATCGACCAGATTCCTGCGCGTGGCAGGTTCGTTCAAGAAGCCAAGCAAAGTTGGCTTGAGACAAAGCAGAGTCAAAAAAGAGTAAATGACCGAATGAAAATGCACCACCATACCAGGACTCAACCACCCACGACACTTTCTAAGCAGACCGGTGCCGAAAATTGTCTCAACCACGGAGCCGCCGAAGAACCGACGAATCACCTTCCAATTATCAAGGAGAACATCACCACCCACGCACCGGATCGTAAGCTCACTCATGCCCTTGGATCGAACCCCCTCCAATAACTCAAGTAGCCGAGCCGTGTGGACATGGTTAGGAGCGACAAAGCTCATATGACAATGATTCCTGCTTGCCTGAACCACCTGCACTGCCTGGCAAACCACACTCTTAGCTCATCGTTTCCTCCGCTCCCTTTTTCCCGACCGAGCCTTCCTACAGCGCTGGGGCTGGTCCCTGCTATTGAGGTAAGGACTAGTCCTACGGATAACGAGCTACTCCAAATCCAGTAGATCAGTACCATCACATCGGAACAGGGGTATCGCCACATAGTGTTCCGGCCCACACCTCCTCAACCAGTTGTACAGCTTGTGATTTCGATCCCCCCTCTGGATCACCGAGCTGCTACACGAGCGATACACATGCTCCCCCCACCGAACATCTACACTGCGGCTGGTAGATCCCACATACACGTGCTTGTGCCATGGGGACAACAGGATGTACACAAGCGGACCCTGATAACGAAAGAGATCGACCCCCTGCTCAATCATCGACACCAAGTATGATCTGAACTTCAATCCCCAGGGAACCAACCCCCTTAGAATGAGAAGCAGCACAACAGTTTGGAATAGAGAGTTCCAGCGACAATCCCGAAGGGATGAGGTAGAGAAGGACCGATTCCTCCGACAAGCATTAGCCAGATCCCAGATAGCCACGTTTCGGGAGTCCCATCAAGCAGAGTCGGATGGGACTCGCACCACCTCCGTCACACTGCAACCAACATCGGCGGACTTACCCTGTTCTGGCCCCTCGTCCTCATTCTCGCGTGAGCTACTGCATCCTCCGAACGCTTTGTCCACGTTGATTTCAGCCAGCTCGTCGACGGTAGAGTCGATGGTCTTGTACTTGATGCCAACCTCTTTGCACAACAGCTCCAGGCCACCTTTCTTTAAGGCCTTGAGTCTTTTCCTCTCCTCGATAAGAAAAGCAAACCGATCATTCGCCTTCCTCGCGCTACCATCCCTGGGCAGCCTTCCCGGTGTCATCTTGACACGCCCCTGCCTACCGGAGCGAAGACCAGTATTGACCGCCTCATCCATTTTCTCCTTCAAATTGGTACCCGCACCACGTGGGGTGGCTGCCTCGGCCGGATCGGTGGACAGCTTGCCCATCTGATCCCTCAATTTCACAAGCTCCTTTTCTGCCTCGATACGTTTCGTTTCTGCCTGTGAGCGACGATCCTTCAGCATGTCAACCTCAATTTGATCGCACCGGCGACGTTCCTGCATCTCTCAGAGCTCCGCCCTTAGTTTCCTCGTTTCCTCCGGAGTGGCTGCTAATTTGGAGCGCGTCACAGTACGGCCCTCGCTGGCAGGCGTGGTTATATTGATACTACCGCGCTTGTTCCCGGGACGAAGTGCCTCGTTCCTCCAAAGGTGCGCCACCTCCTCCGATTCCTCATTCTTCTTTCTTAAAGCATCCATCTCGGCACGCAGATCATCAATCTGCTTAGTAAGCGTACTCCTGTCAGCCGACTCGTGGTGCTCCTTCAGATCGCGGATCTCCCACTTGAGTGCCGCTAAATCTCCCTCCAGCCTAGTCTTCAAGTCCTCTCCAAATTTCCTCAACTCGTTGTTTTCTTTCTGCAATCGATCCACCAAGTTTGTAGACGGCATCTGCTCAGTAATCCCATACTTCGCACGCATTGCTTCATTTTCGCGACGAAGTCTGTTGACCTCGTCCGCCGCAGTTCCGTCACCAGGCTTGCTGGCCCCTTTACCCATGATAGCATCGTACATAGGTGCTAGACGACTCTCCAATCGCTGCGTCATCTGGTTCTCAAAATCTTCACGTTCCTTTTTAACCCGAGCCGCCTCCTCATCTTTCTCCCGCTGACGCCTCACTCGCTCCTTCGCGGCACGTTCCTCCCTCTCCTTCTGCTCCGCTCTGCTGACGAAGGCGTTGCACTTGTCCAAAATCTGCTGGTTCCGGTTCCACCATCCGGAACGTGGCTGTGCCGGATACGTACTAGTAGCGAACGTTGACGGAGCAGCAGCTGGCTGCTGCTTACCAGCGGCCGGAAGCACCAAAATAGGTTCGGCGTTAGCCCCCGTCGCCACGGGCGGCCTCAATTGAATCCTACGTGGATATGGGCATTCACGCGACCAGTGCCCCACTTCCCCACAATTGAAACAGCCATCCCGAGATGGCGCGGCCATGATTAAGATGAAAATAAACGGGAGGACAAAAGTGAAGAATGGACGAAAAAATGAAGAACAGAAAAGAACGAAAAGGAGAGAAGAGGCAAAACACCCGTACGACAAATGAAAAGGCTCGAAGCGAGGCCACACTATCGTAATGCAATTGTTACGATGGTTACGACGCGAATAGCTGAGTTAGACAAATGCCAAACAGCAAAGGTCAAACAGCAAACGTACGTAAAGTCATACAAGTGAAGAGGACAAGAGAGAGAGAGAAAGAGGGGGGAGAGGGAGAGAGAGAGAAAAAAAGAGATAGATAGATAGATAGATAGATAGATAGATAGA